CTCAAAGTCTAAACCTATGTATCACAACTTATAAATAAATTTCTCTTATAGAATTTAAACAATAAGAACTTCAAATACTTGAATTTGTGCTGAAAGTATAATTATAAATAATAGCCTAATACATCACATTATTTCAAAAGTTTTTTTTTCTCCAATTTCTCTTAAATCGACTACATGTTCAGTATCACCGAGTACATAAAATCATCACTTATAAAAGTTCAAACAATTTTTTGCACTTGTAAGATTTCAAACAATCATTCTTAACCAAAACGTATATTTTTCTATAAATTGATTATTCCTTCAAAACTAACTTCCATACTAAGTCATTTAGATAACTACAATTTTAATTTTTATCTACAAATTTAATTCCTTGTTAAGCACACAACCTTGTACCACAATAGGTAATGTTCTCCATAAATATAAAATTCAAAGGAATCCAATATTATACTTTAATTAGAAACTATAGCCATAAATTAATCACTTTAGCCAATTGAAAAAATTATTTACATTCCAAATAAAAACTTCAAATTAACAATACAAACTTTCAACTTATATAATCAAACCTTAAGTACTTTCTCAATAAAAAAGTAAAACCCAATTAAGTGAATATCTTCTGTTACGTATATTAAACTATTTACCACAATTATCATATTTCAGACTAAATCCATTAAGACAAATTCTCAAACATTATAACCCATAGATAATTTCTTTAAAATTTCAAAAAATCATTCAATCCTAAATCCAATATTCTATACTTTTAATTCTAACAATGTACACTCATATTTCAATCTTAATTCATAATTAAACATTCACTTAACACTCATCAAATAATTTCAAAATCTTATTAAGTTAAAGGTTTTCTCTCAAATTTATAAGATCTCCAAAGATCAAATCGTTCTCTTAAATAATCCTTTAGCTCATAAGATATGTCTCATCATAAGTCGCATAAAAAATCTCTTCAATTTATAAAATTACACTTTATGAAAGTAATTAGGCTTTTTCTTAACTATAAAATCTCAAAAGCAATATGTAATTATCAACCAAAATAATTACTCAAAAAATTCATTGAATCATAGATTTCTCAAAATTCATTGAAACTTTAACTATTCTAAAATTTATCGAATCATTTACTTATACTCACCATTATAGTCTATGGATCCAACTTATGTCCTTGAAAAATCATCACATTATCCATAAGTCATCACCTAAATTCTTAAAAATCTTCATATAGTATATGGATAATAACCATGCTTATAAAATCTTTTTCAATCCAAAAATCAAAAGTTACATTATTAAAAAATCACTGTTAATCTAATTATCATAATTAAACTTCTTAGAAAATTTCAAAGATCATGATCATAGTTTTTAAAAAATCATCAAAATTATAATATAAGCTCTTTAACATCTCACATAATTTAAAAATCATAACTTAAACTCTTAGAAAATCTCCAAGAAACATAACTTAGGCTTTTAAAAAAATATCATCACAATCTAAAAATCATAATCTAACTTTTAAAAATTTTTCAAAGATCGCAACCTGGCTCTGATGCTACATTATGTCACATCTCGAGATCAAGACGCAATACGATCATATTATCTTAAAGTAAAACCCTAAAGTAATACCAAACTTTCTTTCTTAATCATTCTAAATTTTTTTAATAAACTAATATAGTTTGTCAAGTAAAATCTATATCTTTAATCCAACTAATGATTCATCTCTAGATATCCAAATACAAACCATATAAAAATACAAAATTTTTTCATAAGATCTCATTGGCCAACATTGTTTCCAATGACTAAGTAATCTTTCCTATTAGATCTTCTAGTTTTTCACAAAATTAAGCAAACTTAACATTTACTTATTTGTAAAAAGAAAGTAAAAGGAGAATAAATAAACTACAGCTCAGTAAGTATAGGCTTACACTTTATCGGATCAAGCATCATTTTTATACATATCATATAGATCATTCAAAATATTCATCAAATCATAATATCAAAACATTTAAAAAATTATCATTATGTCAAACATTTTGTAAGTCATAAATCAATGTCAAAACATGTCAATTCACCAATTATAAATCATAAATCATGGTCAACATATTGCATACAAATCATGGATCAATCTTTAAAATCATCATAAATCATCATAATCATTCATTTATCATTAGCTACAGTCACTGCTATAACCCCTGATATTGATCATATCGATAATTTCATCCTCATCATCGTTGCTAATAATTATAATCCGTTAACAAAAGCCTTATGCTAACTACTATAATCCGTTAATAGGATCTTATGATCATGTCTATGCTAACTACTATTACTCGTTGACTAAGATCGTAGAACTAATTTTGGTATCAATGATCTCACTTCTCAGGGATGTAAAAACATAGCTATCATAAAATTATTTCTTAAATATAAATCATTTTCTTATTTCATTCATAAGCATGATCCATCATTTACATAGCAAAAACTCAAAATAATCATATCCTTGGTCCTATTTTCATATATCGAAATAATAAAATAAAATATTTACTCATTTAGAAATATACATATATAAATAAGTTTGAAAACAAACATAGTGTGTGAGATTTTACTTACCTTCTTTCGATTCCATCACTTAGTTTTTCTCTCAAAATACTTAACAACCTATTCAAGATAATTTTAATATAATAGTAATTAATCAACCCATTTTGAGACTAATTATACAAAAAACAATTAAGTTAAACAATGATTAACTCAACTAATTAATACTGATAGTCTGAGTTCTTTTCACTAAAACAGTCATATCTCAAGACATCTAATTCAAAATTAAGATATTTTTAATGTGTTAGAAACTAGAATAGATAAACTTTCTAACCATATTGGTCCATCAAGTGATTCCTTGTAGATTAATTATACTAATTTTTGCAATCCCCATCATATACTGTTGTCAGATATGTGTACATTCTAAAAAAAATTTAACATTTATTCATAGGAAACTTCAAATTCAATTCCGTTTATTTCATTGAAAAGTAGACTTAATAAGCTTTTCAAACATATATGACTTAATTTGGAATTCCTTATATAAAAATTAAGAGAAATTTCGTAATTTCTCCCTGTAACTGCTACTAGGAGGCTTGCACATTCTTAAATAAAAATTAAACTACTCTTCATGGAAAGCTCAAAATTGACTTCTGTTTATTTCATTGGAAATTAAATTCAGTAAGCTTTATAACAATATATAATAATCATGGTAATATTTTATCTCTTAATACAAAATAATATCTTAATCTGATATTGCAAACACTAGAGTTCATACGAAACACAAATTTTCTTCTTTAATCTCATCAAATTTCTATTTCTTATTTTTACAATAATAAAATCACATTATTAAACTTCCTCGATACTTTATTAGACTCTAATTAAAGTCTAAATAATTTGCCAAAATCAATCTTGAAGAAGGATAATAGATTTCCTAAAATTTTAAAGTTTCTTGATTATAAGTTACATTTCAAAACTTAACAATTGATATTATTTCTCCAAAATTGAAAGAAATTATTTATTTACCTTTGAAAGACAACTTTTCTTGTAGATTTTGTTCTTACCCTTTACTTGAAATTCTTTAACTTGTTTGTTCTGTATATGAAATAAAAGAGAAATAAGCCTTTATTTTCTTTCAATAAGTTGTTGGGCAAACAAGTGATAGATACTAATCTTATTAAAAGTTGAGTTATTTTATCAATAAGTAGTATGCATTTTTTACTCTTTATTAAAGAGTTCCTCCATTTATCAAAATACTTAAAATAATCTTTTTTTTTTTGCGGGGTATTACATTAAATTGTAACGCCACAATCTCATATTAGTGTAGATATGGTATAATATATATATATATATATATCTAAACTTAAAACTTGTGAAGAGCTTTTTATGGGACAAAACCGTGAGACTTTCAAGTCAAAATAAACAATATCTCACAGGTTAAGTGTGGGTATCCACAAATGGTATCGAGTGGTCACTAGTCAACGGAAATTAAGCGCTATATGATGGGACAGTGGGAGTCACTAAATACTATATGATGAAAAGTCACCTCTAAAATCCCAATATTTAGTGACGGTGGGGAGCCACTTTTAGAATCCCAACGTTTAATGTAATTTTGATCCTATAGTTAAACTCAGCTTGACAACGCCTCCAATCTCATATTAGAAGAATGTGTGAATATAGTATAATATATATATATATATATATATATAAATATCTAAATTTAAAACTTATGAAACATTTTTTATGAGATAAAATCATGAGATTTTCAAATCAAAATAAATAATATCTCGTAAGTTTAGGTGTGGATGTGCACAATTCCCTAGCTCAAAAGTAAAACTAAAATCTTTCCTGATGGAGGCAGTTGCATTAAGTCCCAAGATCATCGACACCAAGAAGAGCTGATCACATTTTTTTAGATCGATTCCTTATTGAATCAGGGAGCAGACATTCCAAAGTTTTGGGTGCTGTATTTGTGTTTGTGTGAGGGAGAGACTATGATAGCATTTTGCTGCAAGTTGTAATGTTAGAGACCTTTGAAATGACTTCGGACTCATAATGACCAATATGAGGACCATATATGATATTGTAGAAATGCTAAATCTGGAGGCCCTACGAGCTGACACTGCTTGCTTGGCATACCCCGCAATATGCACTGCCATAGACGGCTTGAACTTGCTGGACAAGATTATGATCTGTGAGAAACTGAACTATCACTATCAGTACCTACATGACAAGAAGACCTACCTCGTAAGCATTTGCTATTAACAGAACCAGTATCAGGAACACTTATGGTCCTTGCCTCTTGTCACCATCTGACCAGCTAACTACTCCATTACCAGAAGAAGTTGATCTTATTTTTTAGCCCTCTCTCAGAACAATTTATGTGCTTCCATGAGTGCACTGTTGCAAATGCACTTGTGCGTGTGTGGGCTTCTCTACATGTAATACAACATAAATATGATGTGAAAAGTCTCCTTATAATATCTAAATAATGATTATGCACTTGTGCTAACGAAGCATGCACAAGGAATTCTTAAGCTAGATTGCTTCATAAAACTAATTCTCAGGATAGACATTAAGTTGCAATATCAATTATAAACAAAATTGCAAGGTCATTTGAAAACTAATGCTGCTAACTGCTAAGAAAGAGAATCTCAGAATAACAGTGTAACAATCCCTAATGTAAATTTACATATGTTCAACCAAAAGGGAAAAGAAACGTTTTAAAGTGTGAGAAAATATGAAATTATATAATGCATTTCAAAGCTCTCACAAACATCTGTGCAAACGAACATCAAGTCATGAGACAATGACAATGATAGAAAATTTTCGCCAATTTATGTTTCTTCTCTCTGTATCAATGGTGGAGCAGGTGGAATCATAGTTTCATCTTTACCTCGTAAAGATGACTCTTCTTTCACCATAGAAAGCTGCCGGTCTGGACTATAATATTCCTTTGAAACTATTCTAGTACTTGAAGAATTGGCTGTTAATCTCGTGGATGGGCTAGAATTGTACCCTGGTGAAGAACTAGGACCAGAACCAGATTGGACGATCCCATCTTCACGAGGTAAAGGTGTTATTGGCAGCTGGTTACCACTTTCCATTTGCTTTCTTAAGAACTTATCTTCTATAATATCATAAGAATTCCCTGTGCGTGCCTCCTGAGCAAGAGAACACCAGCAACAGCACAGCCACAGAGTGCAATCACTGACTTCTGGTTGACCACAACAGAAGTTATAAGTTGGCAAATTGAACCTCTTTCTCATTTGAATCCTCCAGAAGCCACCATATAGTAAACCAAACCCACAGAGAACAATTCCGGTAACACCAAGAGCCTCTCTGGCAGTCTCATTATCAATATTCAAAGCAGCCAAGTTGAAAATCCAGAAGGGAGCCATACAAAACAGGAGAAAAGTTGCAATATGTACATACATGTTTCCAAACCCAAGTCTCTCCATGTTCCACCCAAAGACACAAAAGCTACAAAAAAGAGAAAGATATGCTAGAGAAATATCATCCCAAAAGTCAAGCATCCCACCACTCCAGAGTGGTCTGCTTTCAACAACTCTCTTCTCATCTCCGGATGCAAATGAATATCTCTTCTCTAATGATTTTCGTCTCAATTGCTCTGGCCTCTTACTTTCACCAGTGTCGGTTGGCCTCAATGCTTCCTCATCTATTTCAGAATCATAATCCCTCCCAAGAGGGCTAACAATGGTGTAAACACCAGCCATTGCTGGTGCAGCTATTGCAATTGATACACATATCCCAACTCCGATGGCAGGTCGCTCAGATCTCCTGTATCCCAAATTCAGACCACAAAGGGCATACTGAGCAAAACAGTTGATATGAAGTAGCACAACAACCACCATCATGTGTGCCCACTCATGAGGCTTATAGGTCCCATTCTTACAGTATATCTTTCTGAGTCGGGAAACGTCTTCCAGTCTCCATCTAAAAAGAAGTACAAGGTGGTAAAATCGCTTAGGGTGTTGGTACAGACACATAAGAGTAAACAGAGCATTGAGAATTTGATTGTTGACTTCAAACCAGCCATTTCTTTGGGACTTCTTAGGAAGCGCTTCATTCAACATTCCAGTCATTACGAGGAACAGAATAGCACCAGAGATAGCAACACACATGATCCATACAAAAAGGGCCATATTCATTGGGTCCCTAAACCATTCCTTACACATTTTCTTGAGGGAAACCCAATCAATCTTTTTTGCAAAAACCCCAGTCAGGTGTTCTCGTAAACGATGACCACTTGAAGAAGCCACCAACCGAGAAACCTCGTCTCTTTCTTCAGCTAAGCGCTTGAATTTGGCAGATGCAGAACCAAAATTGAGAAACTTTTTTCTACTTGGAGGAGACATAAAGCTTCTAGGTGACCTTCTTTGAGGGTTTTCACCGTTTAGAAGCATCCTTTGTGATGATGAAATGTGAAGAGGAATTTGTCCCTTTGTTCTAGTGACATTGGATTCCTCAATTTGCTCTTTCTGATTCTCATTGTCACTTGAAGCCATTCTAATATCAAAATTTAACTCTCAATCAATCCCAGAACTGTGCTACACAGAGAGAAGCTCCATTGCAATAACTCTTAAAATGTAATTCTAAAATTAAATTGAAAATCAGAAGACACACAATCAATGATTTTGTAGTTATTACCACTAAACAAATGTTGCAAAATAGGACGCAAGGACTCTGCAAAGCAAAGGCAACTAAAACAAAAGATTTTTGTGGGTGCCAAGTAGCTACGCAAAGATAAAAAATCACTAAAAGAATCAATATTTTGATAAACAACAGTTGTAAAATATATCCTAAAATCTAAATCTCAGACCTTTGACTTGCACAGTTCTATTTTCGTATCAAAATTTGTTCTTTATCATCAGATGACTGGAAAATATCCAGAATCTGTTCAATTTCTTTAATTTAATGTAAAAATTAGCTTAAATATAATAAAAAAATCCTAACAAAAAATGGAAACAGAAAACAAAAACTATAGTAAAAAAACCCTAACAAAAAAATGAAAACAGAATATAAAACTGACCTGATATAGAAAGAAAAGTACGAGCTGAAACTTGGGCTTATGGGAAACTGACAAATGAATTCAAGAGATAACCTGCTATGGAATCAGTCTAAAAAAAATTCACTTTTGCTTTAGTTGCAGCAGATGTGGTTTCAGACATACACAACTTACAGTGAACAGATTCTTCCGCCAATCATAAGTCTTACAGTACAGGATCTTACCTTGAAAGTTTGAACACGTGGTCCTGATGCTGGTCAACAAAATTAGGAAAAAAAAAAGATTGCTAAAGGTCAAACAACGTCGTTATAATGGTGAAATTCCAATCTAACGGAGGCGTTAATTTTTACAGGTTCAACGTTGGTAATTAAAAGACAAGAGCTAATCAACAGGACAGGATGAATTGGGTGAAAGTGTTTTCTTTGGTATTTTTTGTTGTGCTTGAAACAATAATCATAATAATATAGAAGTAATAAATAATAATTATTAATAAAAATATATAAAAAAAATAAAGTACATCAAGATTTTTGTGAAAAATTCTCTAATGTAAAAAGAAAAAATCACAGACCACCAAAAAAATCGTCATTATCAAATAATAGGTATACAAAATTCTTTTCTAGCTAAAACTAGAGTTAAACAACAACTAAAGAAATAATTGAAGAAATCTCACAAAATAAGTGACTCAATAAATATACTCTGAATTTTGTTCCTAGAGAGCTTTAAACCCGATTTTCACCGTTCAGAATGTAAAATTCTGAATCATAAATCTCCTGACAAGATTTCAACTCAATCGGATCACGGATCAACTTTCATTCACCTAACTCTCCCTTCTTTTTTTTCTCTCTACTTTTTTCTAGTTTTTTTTTTTTACTTGGTTTTCGACACTCCCTTAAAACAATCCCATCTCTTTTTTATTAAGTAGCTAGGGTTTTGTGTAAAATAAAATATCAAGGCCCATGGCCTTTACTTGGTCCAAAACCACTTACATGGGGCTGGATCCCATTTTCCTAACAATCTTCCCATCCAGCCCCATTAGGAGGAGATTCATTATTATAGCAGTTTCATTTAAAACTTATCTTGGACAAAGAACTCATTCCGACCAAGTTACTGTAGAGCTCAAGTTTTTTTTTGAAAAGTATCTTAGTTAACATATCTGCTACATTCTTATCAATATGGATTTTTTTCAACAGCATCTGATATTCTTCAATCACTGAACATAACCAATGATATCTAACATCAATGTGCTTTATTCTAGCATGGTACGTGATATTCTTACTCAAATCTAAAGTACTTTGGCTATCACAAAATATCATATACTCTTTTTGATTCAACCCCAATTCAAGAAGAAAACGTTTCATCCAAAGCATTTCTTTACATGCTTCGATTGTTGCAATATACGCAGCCTCTGTAGTTGACAAAGTAACACACTTCTATAACTTGATTGTCAAGATACAGCTCCTCTTGTAAAAGTGAACAAATACCTTAAAGTAGATTTTTTATCATCAAGATCGTCTGTCATGTCAGCATCAGCAAACCCTTCTAGAACTGGTTGTGAAACTCCATAAGTCAAGCACATTTTTGAAGTACCCTTTAAATATCTAAAAATCAATTTCACTGCTTCCAGTGAACCTTTTTCGGATTAGAAAGAAATCTGTTCACTACACCAACTACATGAGCAATGTCAGGTCTTGTACAAATCATAAGATACATTAAAGAATCGACTGCAAAAGAATAAGAAATACTAGACATAGTTAGTTGCTCTTCCTTATACACTGGATAAGATTTCTTACTTAGATGAAAATGGTTGGCAAGTGAACTGCTAACTGATTTAGCATATTGCATGTTGAATCTACCACGCACTCGTTCAATATACTTTTTCTGTGACAACCACAGCTTTTTAGCTCTCTTATTTCGGATAATGTCCATATCAAGAATCTATTTTGTTGGACCTAAATCTTTCATATCAAAAGACTTAGACAATTGTTCTTTCAACCTGTAAACCATACTAGCATCTTGTTCTACAATCAACATATCATCAACGTATAATAATAAGATAATGAAGTTACCATTATGGAATTGTTTAACATACATACAAGAATCTGCTGCTGTTCTTTTATAGCTATGACTCATCATAAAAAAATTAAACTTATTATACCACTGTCACGGAGCTTGTTTCAAGCCATACAAGCTTTTCTTCAAATTGTAAACTAAGTGCTCTTTCTTTTTCATTTCAAAACCTTCAGATTGATTCATATAAATGTCTTCCTGTAAATCATCATGCAAAAATACAGTTTTAACATCAAGTTACTCAAGCTCAAGATTCAAACTAGCTGCTAATCTCAGTACCACTCGAATATAACTCATTTTTACAACTGCAGCAAAAATCTCATCAAAATCGATACCTGATTTCTGAGAAAATTCTTTTACTACCAATCGAGCTTTATACCTCACTAGTTTTTCATCATCCTTTTTCAACTTGAACACCCATTTATTAATGGCCTCTTTCCTTTTGAAAGTTTAACAAGATCATAAGTACCGTTTTTTCATAATAACTCAATCTCTTCTTTTATTACTTTTAACCAGTGCTCTCTATCTGGAGTAGCCTGTACATTTTGAAAGCTTTCTGACTTCCCTTCACTAGTAATTAAAATAAAATTTGAACTTGGATACCTAGTAGATGGCCTGTGCTCTTTAGTAGATCTCCTAGGTTGAGACTCTACATTATTTGATGCCGAAGGTAGCTCTCCCTGCTCAATACTCTTAGGTAGAGAGAATTGCTCTTCCTGCTCAAAACTAATTACATCTGGCTCATCACCAATTATGGTTGGTTCATTCATATCTCCAAGTTTTGTTTCTTGCTCATTTCCATCATCTGTGGCTCTTTCCTGTGAAATTTTTATCGGTGTTGAAACATCACGCTCAACAGTAATTCATGTAATCTTCTTATTTTTTTCAAGGTCTGCTATAATTTTTTTTTCATGAAAGACTACATCTCTACTTCTGACTGTCTTTTTTTTTACCAGATCCAATACCCTATAACCAAATTCTTCATCATCATATTCTACAAACACATATTATGTGATTTTACTGTCAAGCTTTGATCTTTGCTCCTTTGGCATATGCATGAATGCTTTACATCCAAAAACTTTTAAGTAAGAGTATGAAGTATCTTTTCCTGTCCACACTTTTTCTGGAATGTTAAAGTCCAAAAGAACTGATAGTGACCTGTTAAGTAAGTAACAAGTTGTGTTGACTGCTTCACCCCAAAATGGCTTTGGTAATTTTGTCATCCTCAACATACATCTAACTTTTTTCATAATGGTGCGATTCATTCTTTCAGCTATACTATTATGCTGCGGTGTTCCAAGTTCTGTCATCTCATGCCTGATCCTATGCTTTGAACAATACTCTTTAAAGCCTTTAGATGTGTATTCTCCATCATTATCAATTCGAATACACTTCAAGGGTAACCTTGTTATCCTTTCAACCATGGCATAAAATTTTTGAAAATACTGTAGTACCTAACTTTTGTATTTCAACATACACACCCAAGTCTTACGTGAAGTATCATCAATAAAAGTAACAAAATATCTGCTACTACCTAATGACTCAACCTCAATGGGATCACATATGTCAGAATAAATTAATTCCAATATATTTTTTTCTGAGAATTTTTACGAAAAAAAACTCTATGATGCTTACCAAACAAACAATAATCACATGAATTGAGAGACATACCTTTGATCAAGGGAATAAAAAACTATCTTGCCAAAATCTGTAACCCTTTTTCACTCATGTGTGCCAACCTCCTGTGCCACAAGTTTGCTGAAGCATCATTTTTAATGGTATTTATCTGGTTACCGTTTAATTGCATCCATGTCTTATATATTATGCAACATAATTTTTTTCTTGCAACTATCATAAATCCTTTGAGAAGCTTTCATTATCCATTCTTTTGTCGGCTTTTATATCCTTCCTTATCAAAAACATTAATAACAAGCAAGTTTATTCTCATATCTAAAATGTGTCTGATATCCCTCAAAGTCAACATACAGTCTGTACTAGTTTGTACAATAATATCACCAATTTCAATAATCTAAGACATACTCTTATTTTTCATCTTAGTACAACCAAAATTTCATACTTTGTAAGTTCTAAACAACTTTCTCTTAAAAACACAATGATATGTCGTTCCTGTGTCAACTATTCACTCGATGCTGGGATCACTAAAATAATTACAATCACCATGTGTACAAATCAAAATAACTGAATCACTATCTGAATTCACTGTTACAACATTGCCATCATTTGAATTTTTGTCATTATCATCTTTTCGCTCTTGCTTCAAGATTTTACAGTTTTGTTTTATATGACATGCCTTACCATAATAGAACCATTTCATTTTATCTCTAGACTTGGATCTATATTTAAACTTACCATGACCTTTTGAGTCCTGACCTCTGTCGATGTTTATACCCCTATTCTCTGTGACTAGAGCTTGATTCTCAGGGTCTACATCTTTTCACTTTACTTTTTCATTAAGCATACTGTTCTTTTCCATCTCCAATGTCACTTTATAATCAGGAGCTGAATTAAGAATGGTCACAACTAGAGTATTTTAGTTGTCTGACAATGAACCTAAAAGAAATAACGCCTTCATTTTATCATCCATATTAAGCTCCATAGTAATCATCCGATTAAATATATCTTGAAAATCACTCAAGTGCTCTATAACAGATCGTTCATCCCTGCATTGTAAAGTTGCAAGCTTTTTAACAAGCATAACTTTATTCATATTTGTTTTTCTCTCATACAATGTTGCTAATTTTTTCAAACAATGTGAGCATCTGACTCCTGCACTACATGATGAAATACGCTGATATCAACCTATTTTTTGATTGTAGCCAGCGTCTTTCTACCTAGCTTCTTTCAACTTTCATCTTTCATATCTGCTGATTTAGCCGAATCACCAAATACTGGCTCATACAAATCTTTGCAGTATAGATGATTCTCCATCATAAGCTTCCAAATTGAATAATTCAATGCTGTCAATTTTATCATGAAATCTGTATCACCCTCTATGATCTCAAACATAATTTACTTCTATCTTGGGTTGCTTCTGTATCGATGTCTCAAAATAACCCTCGCTCTGATACCACTTGTTGCGCCTGAAGCAATAATCACAACAATACAGAAGCAATAGACAACAATCAATAATAAAAAATCGCAAGAAAAATAAAGCACACCAAGATTTACGTGAAAAACCCTCTTGTGTAAAGAAAAAAAATCACGGACCACTAAAAAAATCTTCACTATTAAATAATAAGTATACAAAGTTCTTCTCTAGCTAAAACTAGACCTAAACAACAACTAGAGAAACAATTGGAGAAATCTTATCAAATAAATGACTCAATAAATACACCATGAATTTATTTTTAGAGAGCTTCAAACCGGATCTTTACCGTTCAGAATGTAGAACTCTGAATCATAAATCTCCTAACAAGGTTTCAACTCAATCAGACCACGAATCGACTTTCGTTCAACTAACTCTCCCTTTTTCTTTTTCTCTCTATTTTTTTCTAGCTTTTTTTTTTCTACTTGGTTTTTGACATTTCTTTAAAATAATCTCATTTTTTTTTATTAAGTAACTAGGACTCTGTGTAAAATAAAAAATTAAGGCTTATGACTTTTATTTGATCCAAAATCACTTACATGGGTTGAATCCATTTTCTTAACACTCCCATGGGAGGAGAATGGGTTTGCACATCGTGATTTTCTTCTTTTTTTTTAGGTTAATTTCGAATGCCATCAATGAAGTTATCTGAGTCTCATATCTTGCTTTGTCGAAGGTTGGAACAAGAAAGATTATGAACCTATGATCACCTGAATCGTGTCTGAATATTTTCGTATGAAAGCTCTCATGGCCTCGGGTGAGGAAATTCACCTTAGCAATTAATCAAAATCACATTAATTTTTGAGTCATTTATTGTCCTCTGTCAGTTGACAAATTGAAAAGCGGGCCCTTGTTAGACCAACAACCTTTAGATAATAGCTGCAATATTTTCCCAACAACCCCTTGTAAGTTGGGGTTAAAAAAATGGCAGAAGCTGATTTCTCGAGAGCAAACCTTATCCTTTCAGAGCAAGACAAACTAAATTTATTCGTTATTTTATTGCTTATGAGAATTATTTAGTAACCCCATTTTCCATATTATGTCAAAAAATAATGAGTCAAGTATTTCAGCCTATACTGATTCTGCAAGGAACAAATAAACTAATCAGAAGAAACTAACTAGCCTCCAAAATGCAGCATCAAGCAAACTGAAACTGATGCCAGTGGGCTCACTCCACTTTTAGCAGATTTCAATTCTTTGGAAAATCAATCTTCAAGAGGTGCATCAGTTTCTGGTGCGGTGTTTAACATCTGCACAACAATGGTTGGAGCTGGAATCATGTCGATTCCAGCCACTATTAAGGTCCTACGGATCATTCCTGCCTTTGTTGTCATCTTCATGATTGCATTCTTGGTTGAGGTCACGGTTGATTTCTTGTTGAGGTACACTCAATCTGGCAAGGCGACCACCTATGCTGGCCTAATGGCAGAGTCCTTTGGATCATTGGGATCCCTTGCGGTTCAAATCTGTGTTATGGTCACTAACCTTGGTTGTCTCATCATTTACTTGATTATCATTGGTAAGCATTTTATTTTGTTGGGAGTTTCTTATCTTGCCCTTTGGTTTTCCTGTTTTTCAGAGATTCTGGTAGCTTCTTCTGTTTCCTTTTCTGGGTATTTATTTTGGTTATTTGAAACAAATTTTCATTTGTTATTCAATTAATCACGATGATGAATCTATTAAATGTCTGATAAAGCAATGGAACATGAAAATTTATTCAATCCGATGGTGTACTTTTCTTCTAGGGGATGTCCTCTGTGGAAATCAGTCTGGAGGAACCCTGCACTTGGGGATTTTACAGGAATGGTTTGGCATCCAATGGTGGAACTCGCGTGCTTATGTGATACTCTTTGTTGTACTCTTGGTTATGCTTCCATTGGTGTTGTTGCCACATATGAGTTAGTCAGCAGATTTTCTTGGATAATTGGTATTTAAAAGAATTATTGGGTATTATTGGCATCCAATTCTCATTTTTTACTTCAATTTTGGACTTGTGTGACAGATTCATTGAGGCGCACTTCAGCAATATCTATTCTTCTTGCAATAGTGTTTATAAGCTCAGCAATGGCAATTTATGCATTGTGGAAAGGAAAAACTCAAAATATGGGATTGCTACCAGACTTTGCCAATCAGGTCTCTGTCCTTGATCTTTTCACAACTGTTCCAGTCCTTGTAACGGGGTTTGGGTTTCATGTTAACAGTAATTAAACCTCACTTAAAACTTCATTTCTCAATTCTACTTTTTAAAAAGCATGCTCATTTGCTAACTGGCTAGCTTCAGCATTTGCAATTCTATTTATGAATCAGGAAGCTGGAACTTAGAATTTTGAAAGTGTTACAGTTTTGGCTCAGAATTTAAACGAAATAATATTAATTTTGAGAATTAGTTGAATTGCCGTGTATTCTAATGAAAGATTTTGGATATCAATGCAGTTCATCCGATAAGAGCAGAACTTGGTAGACCTTCTGATATGAGCTCTGCTGTCAGGATTTCTTTAGCAATCTGCACAGCCATTTACATCTCTATCGGTTTCTTTGGCTACATGCTCTTTGGGGACTCCATCATGGCAGATATGCTAGTCAACTTTGATCAAAATTCTGATTCTGCAGTTGGTCAACTAGTAAATGATACTGTTCGATTAAGCTATTCATTGCACCTAGCTCTTGTATTTCCAGTAATGAATTTCTCCTTGAGAGCTAACATAGATGAACTCCTCTTCGCAAAGAAGCCTGTTCTGGCCAGAGACACCCCAAGATTTGCAATTCTCAGTTGTTTATTGCTTGGTGTTACATACATAATCGCCATAGTCATACCAAATATATGGTACTTCTTCCAGTTCTTAGGATCGACAACTGTTGTTTGCCTCTCATTCATTTTTCCAGGAGCCATTGTTCTCAGGTTTGATAACTGAAACTTACTATCTTTTCAAAAAATAGTTATCACTAAACTCAAAAAAATTCAATATCTTGAAAGGAATGTTCATGGCATATCGGCGAGAAAAGATAAGGTCATGGCAGTTTTAGTGATCATCCTGGCTATTGTGACAAGCATAATTGCCATAGCTACCAACTTGTGGAGTAGTTGATCAGAAGACAAAACCATAAATATTTGTTGCATTTAAAGAAGATTCCTCATCCTCACGTGAGCATATCTGCAATGTTATTACAGAATTCAAGAGCAATGCAAAGGTCACAGAAGCAGATTATCCTTCTGGGATATCAAACTTGAACAGCTCAGACCATAATCTCTTCCTGATTTGATTGCAACATAAATTTCAAAGATATCAAATATCTTTGATTAAATTATAATTCTTCCACATCTTTCTATTCTCTTTTTGTTATCTTTTTTGTATATTTTATAGTAGTCATTAAGCAAAATGCTACTTGCATTTACTTATTTGAGTAAATAATAATATCTTCTCTGGAATAAAACAAAGGCTCACCTACCACAAATAAGTAGATAGATTAGTGAGTATTTTCCCATTATTGAGAAATTTATGCTAAATGAGAAATTTATGAGTTTATTTTCCAAATAATTCATGAAAGTGGTTTTCCACTGACTTGGACACCTAAATGAAATATCTCATTCCCTAATTTTATAACAGCGCTTGCTAGACCAGTATTATTTTATGTGATTGAAAATTTGGAATTCATAAAGGTTTATCTAGAAGATCTCTATCAATAAAAGGTGTTAAAAGTGAAAATAAAAAAAAAAAGCTGCAATTAATAAAGTTCTGCAGGGCACTAGTAGGATTAATTGGCCCACAATGCTGATCAGTGATCATTATTCATTACCATGACCAATCTGTACTTTTATATTATTAAGTAGAGTGATGATTGCTTGGATTGGCACCAAAGTATTGCAGATGAAAAACGTTTTCTTCGTGGGCTGCCCTCATCAAACCGTGCATTTTTTTTTTCAAAGTTTCCCCAAGTATTTCATACCCATGTGACAGAAATGACCCTTTCTGCACAGAGTTCTAATTTAGTAAAATGAAATCTCAATTTCAGCTTGTATAATTTGTTGGACTACACAAACCAATAGACTATGCCATAATAACACAATAATATGGTTAAGTATGCAATATTTGACCGGCACGATTCAGCCAATTTTGCTGAATTATTGAGTAAGAAGCCTATTTGATTTGGCATGGTTATTGGTTACGTTCAGAGCCACATAGCCACATAGCCGTCTCCTGCTTTTGCGTCCACATACATTTTCCTGTTACATTCATCGGCATTACCCCACCCCAACCTGTCTTCTAATTATGAAAGATTTCCAATCGATCTGAGTACCCTTCTTTGGATTATCCTAAATTAATCATATTTCACTGTCTACTGATGACATTCTTTGTCATTGGCCTACCCTACAACTAACCCACATCATATTTATAGACACACATTCAATGTGTAATTATGCACAACAAGACAACATATAGTAATAGATCCTCTAACCGGAAACGTCTCATCATCTTCCAAGATGTCACCGCCTGCCGGATATAATGCACCACTGCTTCCAGAGAGCAACCCACCAGCAAAGCATGCATCGGTATCGGGTGCCGTGTTTAATGTGTCCACAAGCATTATTGGTGCTGGGATTATGTCAATTCCGGCTACGCTCAAGGTGTTGGGTGTAGTTCCTGCGTTTCTGTTGATTGTGGTTATAGCTTGGCTATCAGATTTGTCAGTTGAATTTTTGTTGAAGTATACACATGCCGGGGACTCGACTACGTATGCTGGTGTCATGAGGGACTCGTTTGGGAGGGTGGGATCAGTCCTGGTTCAAATATGTGTCATGATCACCAATCTTGGATGCTTGATTATTTATTTGATTATTATAGGTATGTACTGGATTTTATTGGTGATAATTCTTTACTGATTTAGAACTTCAGGAACAAAATATGGTTTTGAAGGCTCAAAATGGATTGTTCTTGGTGTTGATTTGAACTAGTTTAGCGGATAATTTTATTGTTTAGAGGTGTGGAAGTCTTTTGCAGGCGCTAAAAAATTAGAATTTTCCCTCTAGCAAACTCTACACAATGAAAGTTTCATGAGTTTGGATTGGTTACAACCCAAGATGCTTTTCACTTCATCCTATTAGTGAACTAGTGGACCATGTGTTTAACTGAAATTGGATCCAAGAAGGTTGTAATTTAGATGGTTAAATTTTTTACTTAATTTAGATGAATTTCCAATGAACCATCAACTCTTACAAATGGTCAATCTCTGAGGGAGAATCTGGATGTCTTCCTGAAAATGAATGCTCCTGGCATTTGAAACAGCTACTTAGGAGTCCCCTTTCACTACTCCAACATTATGGTTTCTTTTGTACTTAATATATATGTAATTTTGCGCAAGTTTGTTTGTAGGATTGGCATCTTTGCTCTTTGGTTTACTGCTATTATTCGTTAAAACAATAATTGATCTAACTCCTCATTGAACTGAAAGGCAATGTAAAAGAAAACACAGTAAGTTGGCTTTCTACATGAGGCGTGGCTTTGCTTATATGTTCTGATCTTGATAACTTTTTTCTTAGGGGATGTTCTATCAGGAAACCAACCTGAAGGATCAGTTCACTTGGGTGTTTTGCAACAATGGTTTGGCATTCACTGGTGGAACTCACGTGCTTTAGCACTGCTTTTCACCCTTGTATTCATTCTGCTTCCATTGGTTTTGTTCAGGCGTGTAGGTCAGTATGCTCCAACACTTATTTCTTCTCTTTGTACTCTTTTCTAGCATCCAAATTAAGCATAAAGAAGGCAAACCTAAAAATTGACTCTCACTTTGGTACTCCAAAGAACTATGCTTTGCTTAATTTGTCAAGTTGGACTTATTTGCAGAATCATTGAGGTTCAGTTCAGCAATATCAGTTTTTCTTGCCGTTCTGTTTGTTGCCATAAGTTCAGTTATGGCAATTTTGGTACTATTGGAAGGGAAAACAAATAGCCCGAGACTGCTGCCCCAATTGGACAACAACACCTCCTTCTTTGACCTTTTCACTGCTGTCCCAGTAATTGTTACAGCTTTCACATTTCATTTCAATGGTGAGAGCACTTGGGCTTTCTTACTTTTATGTGGTTGCACATTTGCTAAAGTAAGCAATTCTTGTTCCAAATTTTCTCATTCATGCTTTTACTGAATGATTGCAGTTCATCCAATTAGTTTTGAGATGAATAAACCTTCTGATATGATATCAGCAGCCAGAATTTCATTGGTTCTATGCGCGGCCATCTACTTCACTATAGGAGTTGTCGGATACCTTCTGTTTGGTGATTCAATCATGCCAGATATACTTGTTAATTTTGATCAAAATTCTGGTTCAGCAGTTGGCTCTTTACTCAATGACATAGTTCGATTGAGTTATGCATTTCACCTCATGCTGGTGTTTCCTCTCATAAACTACTCGTTAAGGTCCAATATTGATGAATTCCTTTTTCCAAATAAGACTCATCTGGCAAAAGATAACACAAGATTTGTGTCCCTCACACTTGTCCTTTTAGCCTTCAGTTACTTGGCAGCAATAGCCATCCCTAACATATGGTACTTCTTTCAATTCATGGGATCAACCTCTGCAGTCTGCCTTGCCTTCATCTTCCCCGGCGCTATTGCTCTCAGGTATTCTCTCACCCTGAGCACTTGCATGCATCCAACCTCTGCTATCTGTTTACTTTGTTTCTTTATTTTTAATTTCTTTTCGTTTACAGGGATGCTTGGGGCATATCAACGGTGAAGGATAGGATTTTGGCAGCAGTCATGATTATTCTGGCTGTAGTAACAAGCACAATCGCCATTTCTACCAACGTATATAGCTTTTTTACAGGAAATGAGTCATGACTTGTTTTCTGACTCTTTTTTTTTTTTTTTTGGCAGAGGTTCTTGTATTTTAGTGTTATCTTTTCTTTTGTTGTTTGTTTCATTACAACTGACGCGGCCGTCCCCTCAAAACGGTCAATTACTATATATTGACAAAATACCAGATTACCAAATGACCCAACTTTTATGCAAAATAGAGAAATAGAGATTTGCTTTGCTAGCTTCATCATTTCCATATTTGATTATTTAATGTTTTGATAGAATATTTATGCCATGCATTAGGTGGCTAATAGACCCTGGATGATCACATGACCACTATGACAGTCCTAAATAATTCGATGTTCTTTCATGCGCAAAATTTCATGACAATCTAACTGCTGTATCTATTTTGAACTATTTTTTCTTCACAGCTCTACTTTGGAATTCATGGCATAGGGGAAGTTGAAGGTGCATTACTAGTCTTCATTTAATATCTAATTTATTTTCTTGTACAAGTTCCATTAATTTGTTATGTTATGAATGGGAACTGTATTCTAAGCATGAAAGTTACCGCTTCAAATCATCCAGGATGAAGAAGAAACTATTCACTTGCTCCAGATGATCAATTTCCATGTTTTTAGATGAAAAATGTCACTCACACCCAATGCAGGATCACAACAGGTGGATCCTGTAAGGCAGTGGAGAAGAGGGCTCAGACTACACTGCCCATGTTAATTGAATTGCTTTAAATCAACCACATGACAAGTTAGTAAGGTAATGAACCAAGGCTGTAGGGCAGGGAAAAAATTCCTTATTTCCTTGGGATAATCCACTGAATTCTGTGTTGTAAGCGAAAAAGGCCACACTTTGAAGTAAATATGAAAGAAACAGGCACATGAGAATCCAAGCCAGAGGCACAGAGTGTGAATTTTGAACTCTACAATCAGCAAAAAGATACATTCAAATTTTCATTTGCTCCTATGAAATAGAGATTCCTTCAATGCTAAGGCTTCTTCACCTAATTGGTCTTCAACCCCAAATTCAAAGAGTCAAAAACTTCTCATGATGAAATATCGTATCTCAAATCTCATGATGAAATATCATATCTCAAATCTTGAAATCTCTTCAATAAGTTTGTTTTGTATGTCCCAATTTCGGCGTCTTCAAAGGTGTCTGGGGTAGACTTTATAACTGAGATTGCCCCAGCACTGTGTAAAGCTTTAACTGCTTCATCTGCAACAACACAAAGTCAAAAGTCGGATAAAGAAACAAGAACAAAAGTAGTCGCATCCCTGTTGTTTTGCTCTTTAAGATAAAAAAGCAAAGGACATTAAAGGTGTTGTTGGAATGTATGTGTAGCCAAACTCAAAGCCTTATGCCTAACATTCAAATAACTTTTGCGCATCATGAACCTGATAGCTACGCAAAGCAAGCAAGCAATTGAATGTGAAAACTCTTAGTAATGCCAACCAGACAGATAAAACATGAGAACTGAATTAATTTTAAAAAGTAGATATCCTCAGGTCATGGAGAGGTAATTTTTTCTTAGCGTCCACTACGATGCAGATGACTACAATCTACGCTACCAGACGAGGCAGAAAACTTAACCTCAAAAAATAACTTAAATGACTAGGGAAAATTGCAACTAACCCAGACAAAATATGCAATTATTGACCATCATTGCCACAGAATAAGTTTCAGATACGTATAAATCATATACCTTTTTCTTAATCACAAACCTTTTTCTCCATCTTTTTCCTTTTTTTTTATGCTATTCTTTTTTCTCAAATTGTACTTTTAGAATATAGTAAAGGGTTAATAACTTCTTTACATCACCTCAAGCATCTTGCATTTCTAATATTATTAACAGGCATAAGTCACAACAAATAGGCAGTTCTACTTGAGCTCTGTTGGTAATTAGCTTGGATTCTTGCAAATATGCATCAAACAAAAATATGGAAATGGAAACAGTATGCTATTCATAAGTAAAACAATGCGATATAACTCTACCTGATTTTGACAGTGCACTAAGAGCTTTCAGAGCCTCTTTCTGTGTGCATTCATCTTTAGCAGATCCCAACATATGCAAGAGCTCTTGCGCTCCACCAATCTCCACTATTTTCATCCTTCTTTGATCTATGATAAAAAATGGAAGCAGAGAGTTAATTGTATTAATGATGTCAGCAAACCATTTTAGTAAATAGCCTTGCAGTAGGGTCATGCAGCATTAATATCAGCTACTCTATTTTAGAATTAATGAGAAAAATTATGGGATTCATTTCCAACTACTGTAATTTTGAAGGTAAGCTCCACTTTGACAATCGATATAAGGCAGGAGTAAAAGGGAAACAGCAAACTCTCATTGCAACCACTTATTTGAATCTCTAAATCACAAACCTAAATTGCTAAAAGTTTCAGAAAGAGGTAAGGTTTCAAATTTTCACAGGCAGTTGCAAGCCCATAAGCTAAAGCCATGTAGGGACACTACCACAAGGACATAAGAAACACAGAAAAACCCTGCTAACACCGTCAAAACAACACAAATCCTTGATGTAATAGAAAAAGATTAGACTGAGGAGGAAGATCAAAGGAACATCCAACAGAAGCCAAAAGAAGTCTATAACTCAGGAATACAATCTTCTAGTCATGAATGGGATCTTCATTCTCTACAAACGGACATCATTTAACAAAAACATTTTATATGAGAAGAGAAATGTGATCAGCTATCATTCTATAAAAGAGGCAAGAATAACATTCTTCAATAAATGCTTTATCGTTTAGGCTTAATGCATGAAACTTTAAAAGCATAACTCACGTCAAAACAAGAGAATATACATACGCCAAAGTTGTCACAAAATTATTATCAGGAGAAAAAGAAATACCGTCGACTGCAAAACGGGCTAATCTAGATGCCCCCATTCTCTTAAACAAGGGATCCTTAACATGCAAAAGTGACACAGATTGGTGCATCAAATTATCTCCTGTAAAAGCAAATCTATAAGCAATTTCTCCTTTTCAAGCCAATAATCACAAAAGGCATCCACTTTTCATAGCGTCAGATTGTTTCATAACCCAAATATACATATCCAAAAATACCCACAAAAGTTTAATATCAGAAAGAATGGATTCAGTCAAAAACCAAAATTGGGAATACCCAGCAAAGTAGTCATTTTGAACAACATATGATTTGTTTAACAAAATAAAACAATACCCATGTAGGGGAAGAATTGATAAGCAACAAAAGTTGCAGTGCCAGCAAAGAAGAGTTTCAACAGCCATCCTATTTTCCTCTCAGCTTCCTGTTCAAGAGACGCTTGATCTGCAACTAAAATGATAAAGCATTTAATTTCACCAAGCTTTGAATAAAAAAAAACCTTTTTATAAAAAAAAATGACAAAAAGAGTAACCTTTTCCATTGGATGATGAGAAGTTTCGAGACTGCACATTCCAAGGCTTTCTTTTGAACAACAACTACAGAGGAAAAAAGGGTAAAAATGAAAATTGGAAGTGGAAATAGAAAAAAAAATAAAAGAAGAAGAAGGATTACAAAATTGAGCAGTTTACAGTGTTGAGCTGAGCTGCTAAGGTGCGCATGATTCGAGCTCAACTGCCGAAGCCTCAAACTGAAAATAGCGGTACTTGGTTTTAGTTGGGATGGTCGGTGTTGGAGAGCAATGATCAGGTGTTCCGCCGCTTCACAGTACGACAATGCGTTGCTTTTCAGTGGAAGATAAAGCGGCAGCTTTTTTCTGTTTAGAAATTATATTTATTTCACAGTAGGGAAAAAGACAGGGTAGGGCAGAGTCACCGTTGAGTATTAGAGTTGATTTTAAGATATAAAAATTTATATTATTTTTTTTTGTAAAAAGTTTTATACGAAATGAATTTTTGAGATTAAGCGTCAAAATAAATAATATCTTATAAATATATGAATTATAATAATTAGGTTGATTTAAGATGTTAGATGAGTATATATTTAGATTTTGGAGTTACATGATTTTGAAAGTTGACTTTTAACTCATAATAATTAGTATCAAAATTAGTTTTTGGTGTACTAATTATGTATCATTGAAAATGATGGACTCTCGTTTGAGTGGAAAAAAAGGTCATTATCCTAAAGTAAAGTCAAGAATCTCATCGATTGAATATTAATGTTAGTCTTGAGATATAAAAATTCACATTATCTCTTTTTTATGAAGTTTCGTTTACGAAAAATGAATGTCTAAATTTTGAAATTACGTAAATTTAAAGATTTAATTTTAAAATATCATATGAATAAATACTCGAATCTTGAAATCACGTTAACTTAAAAGTTGACAAGTTCCTCAAGGAGTGATAAACAAATTATTCTTTTCAGTAAAACGAAAAAAATTAAAAGATTGTATTGAGTAATTTATCAGTGTGACAATGCCTTCCTTTTTTTCCTTTTTTTTTATTTTAGCTGTTAGTCATTAGGACTCAGTAATTGGGTTAAAGGAGGTTATAGAATGAATTTTACCTTGATTGGATGGTTTTTCAATTTTTTGCGAGTTCTTTGGACATTCAAATAAACGAAACAAATCAGAACCAGGTCAAGTAATTCGGTAGCTGTAACAAGAGCATAACCAGACAGCAGATTTCAAACAAGGCACAGATTCATAGAACATTGCTTGTGATGTCTGTTCGGAAAATTTAGCTCATTCAACTAACGAAAAATAACCGTACAACGACGCTCTTGATACAAAATTCTTACTTTAGAATGATCATTAAATTATCTTACATCATATAACACTTGTTCTGATCACAGCAAAAGTAACTAGACAATAGAAGACTAACTATATGTGAATTAACAATCAAAAAACAGAGGAAGGCTTTCCCGCATTGCAGATGGATCTGGCTTGGTCCCCATTAATGGCATTTTTCTCACACTTTACAGGAAAAGTCTTCTGATTTGCCTCACCAAAAAATTGAACCGTCAAGATCCTTGGAAGCAAAAACTATCCAGTTCCTGTCCAAAGGCACATCCACAAGTAAAATCAGTTGTCCAATTGAGAATGATAACAATGTCTGCAAACAGATTTTTGCAATGCTATGGATGAATGATAAGGTTGTCAGAGTAACTGAACTCTCTATAGTTTTCCAAGTAAACTTGGGTATCTTTGTCCTTCCAACTACAGGTTTGTTAAGAAATAAATATGGAATTAAACAAATTCTCCCTGCTTGTAAGAAATGCATGAGCAGTAGAACAGAGTGAGATTCTAGTGAAATGCCATGTCACATTGGTTTCAGGTCTCAGTCAAACACAAGCTAAACATTATCAAATTCAACTGACCTTCCACTCTTGGCTGATGGGGGAATTAGGCCTCTCTTTTCTAAGCTTTTAAATCTATCTCTAGTAAGTGTAGCACAACCCTTCATGCAATAAACCAAAAAAACAGGGTGACAGTTAATTTTTATTATCTGAAAGTAAAATTTGAAATTAAATAGGATATCAAAAGACATGTACCTTAAGCTTGTGGAGAGATCCAGTAAGTTCTTCAGATAACAGGACTTGAGGAGGAGCAGGCTGGAATCTGAATTATAGACGACACAGATCAATCAGATGTCTTTCTAATTCCTTTAAATGTTGTCAAAGTAGTGCATTATCTGTCAGATTAGACAAAGCAAAAGGTGAAACAGAACATCAAATGGCAAATATCACAAAGACATTATAAAAGATTTTAGTTTAGATATCAATAAGTTGTGAAATTTGGTCATCGCCATTAAGATCAGAATCTAAACATATACCATCAATTATGTCCATAGTCAATTAGAAAATAGATGAAAATGAGAACTTATAGAAGTGCTTGCATACTTGTATTTCCCAAGCGAGGTGGAAAAGCCTTTAGCCTTTCTTGCTTAGCTATGACCCTTCGAAGATGTTTCTTTTGCTTCTCTTCATGCTCTTTGGCTATTTCTTGTAAGATATCTGGCAAGCTTCATCTAGAAGCAGCAACAGATAATAAGCATATAATCCTCAATAAAAGAGATGATAGTAAAGACAATGATAACTATAGCAGTCAATGTCTTTGGAAAGCCCCTCTACCTTTTTAGCTTCTGCTTCTTTTCTTTGCAGTTCTTTCCTTCTAGCTCTCTTATTTAACTCAACTCCAGTCACCCTCTTTGTCTTGCAAGGCCTGCAACATGATAGAAGCAGAATTAATACATAGATCAACAGTCCATGCTAACAGGAATATTAACTTTCATTCTGTTAGCTCTTGGCCATCAACATACAAAATCTGGTTTGAGATTATAGCATTTTGAGTCTCATTTTTAACCAAAAGAACATATTCTAAGCCTAATCATGATCTTTTGGTGATGTTTATCAGGAAATGTATCTTAGCAGCCAAAGTGATAATTGAATCTATGAATTCAAGTTTAATTTGTCTACTCACAGCACATTCAAGTATACCAGCTTCCCACATAACCTTCAAAACCCAATATTTTCCTCCCTCAAGAAGGTAAAATAATATATACAAACAAACATATAAGCAATTTGATAAAGACAATGAACATGATACTGAAATTAACTAACGTTTTCTCAATAGCAGGAACCTCCTCACTCAAATTCTCCTCATTCATTTCATCATCATTTCCATCATCTGCCTTAATAAAGTATTTCTATAAAAAAAGAATGGTTTTGTCAATATTTCTACTTACGAAGTTACAATAAAATTTAAAAAGAATTCATAACCATAATATATTAGTTTATAACATTGCAAGTATGAAGAATAAATTATGGATGAATAGAACAACAGACACTCACATCATCTTCATCAACCACTTCTCCCACAACAGTTAATGGAACTGGCTGAGGTCCCAACTCAATCTTGTAAACCTTTTGCATTTCTTCTGCAACAGCTTGAGCCAATGAATCCTGGATTGACATTAAAGAAAATACAATAGCTCACCTCATAAACAGTAAAGAATGACACAGACACTATACGCAATTATGTGTTTGGAAATTCACCTGATGACTTTCAAATGATGGATTGTATGAACATCCTGCAGGCTCAACTTCCACTGCAGGAATAATTGACTGTTTCAACACCTATCCAGCTTCGCCACCTGAAAGAGCATAACGAGAATCAGAATTAACATGTAACCCATAATAAAAAGCACAAGAAAAACAAAACTGACAAAAATTAAACTTTTAAAGGATAATACCTTCATTTCCCCATATTGGAACCATGCCAGAATCAGAAGCAGAATCCTCCTATACCAAAACAAACCAAAATCATTTTCTTATATAAAAATTAGTCTCATTTATTAAAAAATTAACAAAGTTTTGCTTTACTTGAACAACTTCTCACATTGGGGACATCTCGAACTACAATATCTTTAGCATTCAAAGCCTCCTTCTTTTTCTTCTTAGAATTATTCTGCTTTGAAGATGGCACTGCTTCAACAAAAGGGTTCTTCTTCAACACACTATCAACTCGTAACACCTTTTCCCTTTTCTTCTCAATCTTCCTCTTAACTGATAGATCTGACAAAACAACAAAAACCCATTTAAGGAAACAAATTTTAGATTAAACAAAAAGGGGACTCAAAAGAAGTGAGAGTAAAGAGTAAAAACAAGACCTTTAGATTTGTCGATGAAGAAGAGGGATTCAGTAGGAGCAGAAGCAAGAGAGCCCCCAGACAAAGCATCTTTCCTGGATTACTCGAAGTAATCATCGACGTCTTCCGTACTTATGTTGGCTCTCCATGCTTTTTACCCTTTTCTTGAGGTTTTTGCATTCTTTCACATCTCCTGGTGAGTGTCCGAAGGGAGGAGACAGACAAAACACACGGTTTTGTGAAAAATGGGCTTGTCTCTTTAAAACGACGTCGGTTATTTGCCAAATTCATCTTATTTGGACGGGGCAAGCCCATTACAGCCCAAAAATTTACTAAATTTTATCCAATTTTTGGCCCAATTATATCCGTCATTTTGAAAACTCCGTCATTTCTCCTTCTTCAACAACCTTACTGCAAAAAAGAAAAAACGCTAAACCCTAGAAAACCAAAACCGATGCAAAATCTGGGGATAAAACAAAAATAAAAATGTTGAGAAGAAACATAAGATTAAGGAGAGAGTATTTGTACAGGAAGAGCTTGGAACGCAAAGAGCGTTTGCGTTATGAAAGAAAAGGAAGATCAAAGAAGCCCTTGATGGTACTATTAAATCTTCCTTTTTTTAATAATCATTTAATTTCATTCAATATTTTTTGGGTTTTTAATTTCGTTTGGTTGTAGAAGGAAAACCATTCCAACTGAGCTCCGGAATGAGGAGGCCGCCCTTCGTCAAGAAATTGACCTTGAAGATGACTACACTGCCAGTAATGTTTCTTTTCTTTTTTTTTTTTTTGAAATTTGGTATTTTTGGCTATTCTCTGAGTGAAAGACGACCCTTTTTTTTGGGGGGGGGGGGGGGGGGGGGTTCTTAGTTAAGGAAAGTTATTGGTGGTGATATATGACTGCTTAAATTTGCTGGATTTATAGTTCCCAATACACATATTGATGATGAGTATGCAAACTCAACCGAACGAGATCCTAAGATTTTGCTGATAACATCTCGGGATCCAAGTGCTCCTCTTGTACAGTTTGTTAAGGTTGGTCTGTTAATTTTGGTGATAAATAACATTTTTTGCAACCCAATATTATGCGTGTTTGTTTGATCACTGATTCTAATTCATATGGCACGGTTTCCTGTTGCAGGAATTGAAATTTGTCTTTCCTAATGCTGAGCGAATGAATCGTGGTGGCCAGGTTGCTGCATTGTTTACCTATATGCTTTCTTATTTAAGTTCCTATTAGTTGTCTTATTGCTGTGATGTGTGTGCTGAATGGTTGACAAGGCTTTGTATTTTTTTTTTTTTTTGCTTAGCTCGAAGATCTAATATATGCGTGGATACTTTCAATTTTGAAAGGATTTTGTTATTTGTATGTTGGCTAAGTTGCCTATTTAGTGTTGAGAGTTATTCATTTGATTAATTGACATAAATTAATAAGCAGAACATTCAATTTAATCAATCTTTTCTTTGAACCATTGCACCGGTACATTTCTTAATGCTTTTTAAGCTGGTCTTTTCTCCAGAATGGTAATTGCTTTCCATTTGCAACTTTTAAATAGAAGCACTGTTTAATGCTTTTTCAGTCTTCTACTTTCACTGTCCTTGAAATGTTTTGCAAAAATAGTTTATACTGATGCTAGCCAAAATGTTAATATTTGGCACTTCTTTGACAAAGCTCTCCTAAAGGGCTAGCTAATAAGAGCCACCTTCTAGGCCTGTTTCCTCAGTTATATTGGCCATGATCATTATAATGAATGCTGACACATATTTCATATATGATAAGAATTAGTACGTTATTCACCATCAAACTGGTTTCTAGTGAAAATTAGAAAGTGATTTTCTATTCTTTTTTTCTTATTTGCAGGTTATATCTGAAATTATTGAAAGTTGCCGTGCACATGAGTTCACAGATGTTATTTTGGTTCAGAACATCGTGGTTTACCAGATGGTTTGATAATAAGTCATCTACCTTTTGGTCCCACAGCATACTTTGGATTACTCAATGTGGCAAGTATTTGATGAGTCCTCTAGCATGCGCCAAATACTTCGTCTTCTGTTTCCATGCTTGTTTTCTTAATCTAATGTTTTCCTCTAGGTTACAAGACACGACATTAAGGACAAGAAAGCCATTGGAACAATGCCTGAGGCTTACCCACATTTGATTCTTGACAATTTTAAAACCAAGGTACTGTTATTGCTTTACCTGTATTTAGGTTAGTGCTTTTAATGCTTTTAAATATATGCCGCTTATGTATAATAGATGGTTTGAGTAACAAAGACTGTTTTGTGCTGAAATTTCTTTGAAGGAGTTTCATGCATCTGTTGTATGTTTGTGCATGTTGACAAACAAAGTTTAAAGACACATATATAGCTGATGAAATTCTGTAGGTAGACCAGAGCAAGGGAAAGAAAGAGTGCTAACAACACATTTTTCAAAATGCAGTTGGATCCTGTAATTTGGTAGGATGCTGCTGAACATGGGTTACATGATCACTATCAGTTTAATTATGTTGGAAATGTTTTTATATGGAGCAAAGCAATTTTTCTCCTTTTGCTTCCCATTTCAGTGTTTGATCATAATTCTTTTCCTTTTCTCCTAGAGTAATCTTTTGTGTTGCTGATAATTCTTTTTCAATTTATTTTGGCAGCTGGGTGAAAGGACAGCAAACATCCTAAAACATCTGTTCCCTGTGCCAAAGCCTGATACAAATCGAATTGTGACTTTTGCTAATCGGTCTGACTATATTTCATTCAGGTTGGTTCTCTTCTATTGATTTTGATGGATGCTTAGGCATTGAAGGGGATATTGATATCATTAGTTCATGTATGGTATGGAACCTCTGAACTTCATCATGCATGCTTTAGAACTTTTGGTCAATGGCTCCTCAGAAGGTTGGAATGAGTCAACTTGTCAGTTGTGGGTATTCTGTTATCATGGTCTTTTACAGTGAATGACAGGTTGCCACTTCATTGGACTAGGGATCGCTTAAGTGAAGCTTAAACATATCAGTTAGCGTTTTAAATATAGATACACGTGCTTGAGATTGCTTTGTCTCACGCTTCAATGTTATGAAACGTTCACACACACTCATTGATAGCATGTAAACATACAGGCATCATATTTATGAGAAGCGTGGAGGTCCTAAATCAGTTGAGCTGAAGGAAATTGGTCCTAGGTTTGAATTGCGGCTATATCAGGTAGTTATAATGGCATTTCAATAAACTACTAGACGTAGCTATTATGCGGTTTCTCAAATCATTGGGTGCTCTATCTTGCAGTTCAAATTTAACTGACTGCATTTGTTCCATTTTTGTTTTGCTTTGCTTATATTGCAGGTAAAATTAGGAACAATGGACCAGAGTGAGTCCCAAATTGAATGGGTGATTAGACCTTACATGAACACAACCAAGAAACGCAACTTCATTGGGATTGACCCAGATGATAATAAAAAGAAAAACAAACATTAAGCTTTGTACCTTTTTATAATTTATCATGTTCCTAGGATTTTTGTCCTAAGAATGATAATGTTGTTTTATTTAGCCTCACTCTTTTTAAAGGTTTGAATTATTAACATTTCATCCCAAAAGTTATTTACAGAAACAGTTTTGTTATGAAGGATTACATCAACTTCTCTTTACACAGTTCTTCCTATACACCACCAATGCTCCTCCTTATTGGTAAAAGAAAGTCCGATAGCAAAAATGAAATGAAAATTGATAAAATTGGAATGAAGAAAAATCACTTGGCATAAGTTTTGAGATGAAAAATATTTACCAGCATAATCAGACCAACTAGCTGTGACTCATGGTTTTGGAGGAAAAATGGCGGTGTTGAAACTTGTGACTTGGCGTCAACTTTCACAGTAAAAAAGCCAGTCTGACTTTCTTTTGAAGCCATAAGTAATAGTGTCGGCAAGTGCACGAATTCTGGCACATTAAAAGCCGCAAAAAACAGGTAGTAAGGTCAGCAGATTCGCAAATCAAGGTGCTTTGCATGACTTTGACCCTGGTTTTCTTTTCCCTTTCTCGTAGTCTAATTAATGAAGCAAACCCAAACAGGTAGCTACAGAAACAATGAGCCACACTACTTATTAGCTTCAACTGTTTTGTTTTCATGTTTTAAATATAAAATAGTGGCTCAGTTTCCACAAATTTTTTCTCATCCAGAGCCTAAACAACCAGCAAAAGAATCCAGTTTCTTTCAGAGAAAAACATCAGTTGATTGATAAAATAAAATCTTTGGTTTTTCATTTTTTTCCATGGCTTCTCTTTTACTTTTATTGTCTGAACTTCTTCGACACCATGAACCAAACTTTGCTTTTGTAACGCCTCCTCCCTCCTCTTGTTTTTCTTCTCCTGCTCCTTGCGGCGCTTCATTGTCTTCTACTGCCAAGAAACCATTGAGAAATGATGCAAAAAAGTACGAGTCAGAGATTGTAGAGGAAGATCCTCAAGAGCTAAGGGTTTCTATTGACCTAGTCTGGCCATAGTGTTATGATCTGATGCTTGCAAACTAGAATTCTAGCCCCAACCATGTTATGTTCTTCGATCATCTCTGGTTCATGGTTTCTCTATGTTTTCAACCTCAAACAAGCATTTTGGTGATCATCATTTTATGTACAACTATAGCAGCCTGATAGGAAGAACGAATCCTTCTTGTAACCGCTGAATCTGATCCCGCTTGGGTTTTAATTTATTTAATCTTTTCATTCTCTTGTATAAAATTATTGTTATTAGACAGCTATATTTTAATTGTGTCTTGTAATTTGAATGGCCCCATTTGCATCTTGTTCTCAATTTTATGGTAAGTTAACATACTGTTCCAACAGCCAAAATATATAAATGAATCAGCCCAATTGAATTCATGATTAAAAAGAAGTAAAAAACCTATCAGGTCTCAATTTCCCATGTCGTCCTGTTTCTTTCACGTTAAATCTTGTTAATATATGCCTTAGAATAAGGATTGTTCGCGCGGAATATCTGCAAACTTAAACCTCTCAAAACATAAAAGAAGGGCAAGAAGAAAGGGTGAATGAAGTGTCTGGTTGGTTTACCAAATATTACTATATGATGTCTTCTAATCTCATCTACTATGATGGTTTTTAATGTCCCCTTTGCAATAAGTAGTTTAATGAATGGAAGTCTACTTCTATTTGCATCTTACCATTGTTTTACAACTCATTACTCATTATTGGATTATAGAATTCAAAATTATTTTCATATGAAATAGACTTCTACCAGTTTTGCTCAAGTCATATCATATTCTCCATGACTATAATACTGTTATTTATTATCTAGCAATTCTGGAGGAGAAGCACAGGTCCCCCCGCTTAACTGTGGTACCAAGCTTTTGACACATGGCCATGTAAGAAATACAGTAAAAGAAAGTTTTTGATAGCATTTTCCTTTGGCAACACGTCGCGCTCTGTCATTTTCCTTAAAAAAGAAAAGTAGACAAGTTAAGTGGCCAGTTAAGCCTCAGTAACGTCAATCCACTATTTTCTGCTAAAGCAATCACTTGCTCGAACAGTGTTGCATAAATTTCAAAAGCAAACAAATGAAAATTAAAGAGGAAAGAGAGGTAGTGCTTTAATAATATAGTTGGAACTTATTATTAAGTGAAACTCCTGCCATGGCTACTAGCAGCAGCAGTTCCAAAGATTCATCACTGCTTAGCCAAAGGTAAACCTTTCTACCCTCTGTTTCAGCTTCTGCTATTACAGATTCAATTGTTGTTTTGCTGACCTTTTTTATTCTTTTTAACATGCATGCCTCACTGATTTTGTATGTGTGATTTTGCTGCTATGATGGTTTTCTCTTTTGGATCAGTGTCTACTTTTTTGTGGGTCTTTGGTTATAACTGAGTTTGGAGGATGACAGGTAATATCCTGCGGTAACAATTCATTCATGCAAGCATGGTTTATATGAAAGATAATAAATTCAGATGGTTAGTTGTTTTATGATCCATATTTATTTGACCATCTCTGGCCTGTTGTGATTTGATAGTTTTTATTTCTAAGTGAATGTAACTTTGTTGGGATTTCTTGCTGAATTGCTGGCTGTTTTAACCAGTTTCTGAGTTTTGAACTTTGGATCATCCATATAGTGTTATTTTCAACTGGTGGACCTTTCTTTTTCTTTTATAGAAGAGGAGGGAACTGCCCTTATACTGGATATGTTGAATTTGAATGGTGATTCTCCTCCCTTTTGTTGAATTTACCAATGAAGATTTAAAGCTTGCTCCAAAAATCTCATAATTTTACTAATTTATTCATCAAAATCATATCTATCCTACTAAGGGTAAGAGTTTTCATCCAGTTCAAAATTAAGTTCAATTTTCATAGTTATATTCCTGCCATTTGCGTCTGAGTTAGAAGACTGCAATCTGTAACCATTGGATCAAACCCATCTAAGTTGGCCTTGCTTGACAGACAGCTAATCATAGGTTATGGAACAGTCAATGGTTTTTCTTTCTTTCTTTGTTGTCCTCAAGGATCTTATCCGGACCAATTACTTTGTGATTTATTTCATTGCATGAAACAAAGGTCAAGAACAGATTCACATTTCCGTTGTTGCCTCAAAATTTATTGTTTACGAATTATTTGAACTGCATCTATTATTTGGTTATGTCAACTACGATATGTTGAATCTGAATTGAGAAAAGCATTTGTCTTTTTCCCATCTAGTATTTTTTCTGCAATGATAAGAGCATGTTTAAAGCATCTCTGGACCTATTGCTAATCAAATGGTACATCATAATTATAAGTGAATTTTAGTGCCACATATTGCTCGTCAAGACTAGTGTCTGGCTAAGCCTTTTCTTTCAATGTAAATTTGATTCCATGCTGTCTCAAATCAGGAAGGCATGCTTTAGAATGCAGAAACTTCTGAAAACAATACACAAGAACTTAATCAGGGTTATTTAATAGTATGCTAGAAATTGGTTTTTCATATGAAAAGTCGTCTCATCTTTGGAGCAGAGTAAAACCTGTCCGCAACCAATTCAGTTAACTGGCTCGGGAAATTGATTTTTCTTGATGACCTACCCTTTTGCTCTATTCTTTCTGGATTCTGGACAATGATGTCTTAACCCTGAACAGACCATAGTTTTGGGAATTCAAATCTGATAAATCACCATTGCCACCCTTTATGAGGTGACTCCATTTATATTAATACATTCTGCATCTTTTTTATGCATGCATGTGCACATGCTAGGTAGTTAGTTAAGCTTGTCTTTTCCCTTTGACAGATTAGCAGGGAAAGTGGCATTGGTCACCGGTGGAGCAACTGGCATTGGTGAGAGCATTGTGCGCTTATTTCACAAGCATGGTGCCAAAGTCTGTGTAGTTGATGTGCAAGACAATCGTGGTCAGCAAGTCTATCAATCCCTAGGTGATGGCCCAAATGTTTGCTTTTTCCATTGTGACGTAACAATAGAGGAAGAAGTTAGCTCTGCAGTTGACTTTGCAGTCAACAAGTTTGGCACACTCGATATCATGGTCAACAATGCTGGATTGTCAGGTCCATCATACCAGGATATCCGCAACTATGATATATCAGATTTCGAGAAGGTGATGAATGTGAATGTGAAGGGTGTTTTCCTTGGAATGAAGCATGCTGCTAGGATTATGATCCCTCACAAAAAGGGTTCTATCATTTCTATCTGTAGTGTTTCGAGTGTCATTGGGGGTCTAGGTCCACATGCATATACAGGGTCTAAACATGCTGTTTTAGGCATTAACAAGAATGTTGCAGCTGAGCTAGGAAAATATGGAATACGTGTGAATTGTGTTTCTCCATATGCAGTTCCAACAGACTTGGCTTTTGCTCACTTGCCTGAGGATGAAAGAACTGAAGATGTGCTAGCAGGTTTTCGTGCTTTTGTTGGGAGAAATGCTAACTTGAATGGGGTGGACTTGACTGTTGATCATGTGGCTAATGCTGTTCTCTTCCTGGCGAGTGACGAAGCTGGGTATATAAGTGGAGACAATCTTATGGTTGATGGTGGCTTTACTAGTGTAAACCACTCATTGCGTGTCTTTCGATGATGAATGATGAAATCCAAATATGAAATAAGCAGTTTCTTTAGTTTGGCTGCCTAGGCCGTAGCTTTTATTCAATTTCTCGGAGATTGTTTTTCCTTATTTTCCTTTTTCTGTCAATAGTGCAGTTGGTTAAGTCAGTGACTTGATAAAAACACTATATCTGCAAAATTCCTTTCCAAGAGAGAAAAGAGATGGGAGATTGAGGTATTATTCTTATCATCACTGCACGAGCATTTAAAATCTGTTCGTTAATTGATGAATTTTAAGTGAAAAATGGCTTGATTTCCATAGTTTCTAATATCAATGTGCAAAAGTCTTTGGCATTATAGCATTGCCTACGGAAAGGCTGTGGTGGCAATGGTGATTGTGATGCAAAGTAATGCAGGTTAGGAGATTGCAGAGGTGATATATGAATATAATGAGACTTTAGCTTGTAGGATCTAAGAGTGCTGGCAAGCCTAGAATTCTGGAAATTTACATTAGATTTATCAGTCAGGGACATCCTACTTGCATCTCCTTCTAAAGTAATTCCTGTTATTGAGATGGTTATATAAGAGTGTCTGTCCCATAACATGAACCTTGTAGTAGAGTCAGCTTTGCAACTATTAAATTCGCAAGTAAAAAGTATGATCCAAAATTACCTTGCTGTTACAAACTCAAATCATAGATAGAACAACTGGTGAAACATAGAATTCGAGATAAATTCACTGCAGAATTGTTTAGAGACCGCTGATTTTGGAATCTAGACAGGTTAAACAGTGCACTCGGACGTGATTCCTGGCTTTAAAGGACGTAAGTGTTTCTGATACTGCTTTTACAAATCGAAGTTACCCCAGTTGAAAAGTTAGTTAAAGCTTAAAAGTAGAGATATATATCCGTTTGTTGTTATTTTTGAAGCAAAGAAAACTTTACTCACTGTTGCATTTCTTAACATCAGAAACATTACAATTTAAAGCCTAATTAATAACTACCCACTAAAATCATAATCCTAAGATTAAGCCATGACCACCAGCATGAATAACAAAAAAAATAACCAACACCAGAAAAACAGGAACAACATGAAACATTCAATGAATCCACATTAGCAGTCCTAAACACATCTTCTAACACTCCTCCTTGCTTTAGGAGCTACAAACACCAAGTTTTGTCCTCAGAAATTCAAACTTGCTAACTGGCAGTGGCTTGGTGAAAACATCTGCAACCTGATCTTCTGTTTTGCAGTAGACAAGAACAACAGCTCCATCTTTCTGTACTTCCCTTAAGAAGAATAATTTAATATTAAAATGTTTAGTTTTCCCGTGAAACACAAGATTTTGAGAGATAGCAATGGCAGCTTGACTGTCAACAAGAATCTTCGTGCTTTCCTCCTGCTCTAAGTTAAGATCGATTAAAATTTTTCTTAGCCACAAAGCTTGATTAACAACAGCTGTTGCAGCAATAAACTCTACTTCAGCTGTGGATTGAGCTACAATTTCTTGTTTTTTCAAGCTCCATGAGAAAACACCAGAACCAAGTGTGAAACAATAGCCTGAAGTGCTCTTCATATCATCAATGGAACCTCTCCAATCACTGTCTGAGAAACCAACCAGCTTGAACTCTTTGCTCTTTGTGTATTTAATGCCAAAATCATTTGTGCCTTTCACATATCTAAGCACCCTCTTTGCAGCCTTGAGATGCCATTCACTTGCACAATGCATAAATCGAGACAAAATGCTTACAGCATTCAAAATGTCAGGCCGAGTTGCTATGAAAAACATTAAGCAACCAATCAGGCTTCTAAAATATGCCTGATCAATCTTTTCTGTTCCATCTTCTTTACAGAGCTTTTCCTTTGAGTTCATTGGTGTCCTCATTTCTTTACATTCTTCGAGTTTAAACTTCTTCAGAATCTCCTTGGCATATTTCTTCTGACAAATGAAGACTTCATGTTCATTCTGTTTGATTTTCATTCCAAGGAAAAAGGTCATTAATCCAAGATCTGTCATTTCAAAAAACTCAATCATCTCTTGCTTAAACTTTTCCATAATACTTGTGTTGTTTCCTGTCACAAGTAAGTCATCCACATATAGTGAGATGATAAGAATGTCACCTCCATTGTGCTTGACATATAATGTTGATTCAGATAAGCTTTTGACAAATCCCAAGTTCTGTAAATGTTCATCAATCCTGCTGTACCAAGCTCTTGGAGCTTGCTTCAATCCGTAAAGTGCCTTTTTAAGAAGATAAACCTTGTCTTCTTCTCCTTCCTTGACATAGCCTTCTGGTTGTTCTACATAAATCTCCTCCTGCAGAAAACCATTCAAGAATGCTGACTTGACATCTAATTGGTGCACTTTCCAATTCTTTTGTGCTGCAACGGCAAGTAAGAGCCTGATAGTGTCGAGTTTAGCGACTGGTGGGAAGGTATCTGAGTAGTCCACACCTAGTATTTGAGCATATCCTTTGACCATGAGTCTAGCTTTATACTTGATGATTGAGCCATCAGCATTAAGCTTGGTTCTGTACACCCATTTGACTCCAATTACTTTTTTGTTTTGGGGTCGATCAACCAACTCCCATGTTTCATTCCTTTCAATCATGAATAGCTCCTCATTCATTGCAGCAATCCAATTTTGATCCTTCTTGGCCTCTTCATAATTTGTAGGTTCACACACAGCAATATTGCATCTTTGATAAACATCAGAAAGTAGTCTTGTACCTCTGATAGGACTGTCATCCACCATTTCATTCTCCTAGTCTCCAATGCTAGGAAACTTGAGCTTGTGCTCTTTTAAGGTTGGATCCATCTTTTTTGCATCATCCCAATTCCACTTTTCATCTTCCATAAAGTGCACATCCCTACTTATAATAATTTTTTTAGTTTGTGGCTGAAAAACTTTATAAGCTTTTGTAATTGAGCTGTAGCTAATGAAGATGCCTGGAAGTGCTCTTTTATCTAATTTATCTTTCTTGGTCTGTGGAACATAAGTGAAGCACAAACATCCAAATATTTTAAGGAAATTCAGAGATGGTTTATAACCATACCATGCCTCAAAGGGTGTTTGATCCTTCACTGCTCTTGTGAGAAGCCTGTTTTGCAAAAAAAATAGCAGTATTTACTGCTTCAGCCCAAAATTGCTTTGGCAGGTTCTTTTCATGTAGCATACATCATATCATCTCCAATATGAATCTACTCCGTCTCTCACTTACTTCATTTTGTTGTGGAGTGTATGGAGCGGTTAATTGATGTTGGATGCCTGCCTCTTCACAAAAATAAGTGAATGCTTCAGAGGTGTACTCTTTGCCATTGTCTGATCTGAGAGTTTGAATTCTACAGCCACTATCGTTCTCAACTCTAGCTTTAAAGTTCCAGAAGACTTGAGCCACCTCTGACTTGTACTTTAAAAGAAGATCTAACACATACGGGTGAAATCATCAATGAATGCAACATAATAAAAACTACCTTTCAGAGAAGACAGTTTTTGTGGGCCTGCAATGTCAGTATGAATTAATTGTAACTTGTTTGATGCTCTCCATGTTACCTTGGAAAATGGTTTTCTACTTTGCTTTCCAAACTAACATGCTTGCAGTTTTGGAATATGATCATCAAGTTTCTGAAAAATCATTTACCATCTTCTTAGATTTCATCTGCAGTAGCCCTGGATGATGATAATGCCCGAGCCTCTTGTGCCATACTTCAGTGATATTTTCTTTGATTGGGAAAGCAGTTTGCTCTTTCAATAGATTTAGAGCAAAGCTTTTCCCTTTCATTTTTACTTTGAAAATATCTTGGCCAACTGCATTTTTAATCGAGCAACTTTTATCTTCGAACATAACTTTATAACCCTTTTCAATTAGTTGTCCAACACTTAACAAGTTTTGATCAATTTCAAGGACATATAATACATCAGAAATGAACTTTGTACCTGAACAAGTTGAAATTGTAACTGTTCCTTTTCCCTTCACAGTTATGTACTTGCCATTACCAACTCGAACTTTCGATGAGTTTGTGTTGCTTAGTTCCCTGAATAGATCCTTGTCATGTGTCATGTGGTTAGTACAACCACTATCTATAAGCCAACTCTCACTTGATTTGATGTCGGAGAAACATGTAGCTACGAACAGGTGATCTTCCTCCTCTTAATCAGCAATCTTTGCATCTTCACCATGTTGCAGAATTTTATTTTTACAGATAATAGCTTCGTGCCCCATCTGATTACATTTAGTGCATTTAGCATCAAGTCTTCTCCAGCATCTAAATGGAGGATGACCCTTCTTTCCACAATGTTGGCAAGGTGAATAAGATTTCTTCTGATTTTCATTCTTTCCTTTTGCATTGGCTGATGTAGTACTTGCCCCATTTCTTTCAAAATTCTTTTTCTTCTTTCTTTTGCTTTTGGCCACATTTTGATGCTTGACTGCCAAAGCTCCTTCAATTATTGTATCTTCCCTTATCAGTCTTCTTTGTTTTTGTGCTTGCAAAGCGTTAAGCAATTCTGTTAAGGAAAATTTTGACAGATCCTTTGTATTATCCAAGGTAGTGATGGTTGCTTCATATCTTTCAGGTACTGTAACAAGAATTTTTTTTACAATTCTTGAGTCAGTAAATTTAGATCCAAGAAGCCTTACTTTGTTTACGATACTTAGAAGCTTATTCGAGTAACTTTAATTGTCTCGAAGTCCTTCATTCTTTGAAGTTTAAATTCTCTAATCAAGTTAAGGACTTGCATCCCTTTAATTCTTTCATCTCTTTTCATATTCATTCTTAAGATAATCTCATATCTCTTTTGCTGACTTCAGAGACATGATACGAGTGAAGATGATGGATGAGACTGCAGCAAACAAGTAGGCCTTTGCCTTTGATTTCTTTGTCTTCTTTTCTTTTTGTGCTTTAATTTGTGCCATGGTGGGATTGTTTGAAAGTGCAAAAATTTCATAGTCTTCTTCCACTGCTTTTCAAAGATCTAAAGCTTCCAAGTATGTCTCCATATGTACTGTTCAAATCTGGTAGTTGTCTCCGTCGAACACCGTCAGAGCAATTACGGAGAAACTGGCTTCAGCTTTTATGACGCGTCAATTTCACACACAGATCCCTTAAGAAAAAAGCTCTGATATCAAATGTTGTTATTTTTTAAGCAAAGAAAACTTTACTCACTGTTACATTTCTTAACATCAGAAACATTACAATTTAAAGCCTAATTAATAACTACCCACTAAAATCATAATCCTAAGATTAAGCCATGACCACCAGCATGAATAACAAAAAACATAACCAACACCAGAAAAACAGGAACAACATGAAACATTCAATGAATCC